GGGTCTCCTGGTTCCTTAGTTCTGTGTCCCACTATCTCTCCCTCCCCTTACTGTCTCCAATCCTCCACCCCTGTACATTTCTCAGTCCCCTTTCCCCCCTGCAGACCCCCTCGCTGAGTCCGGTTCCCCAAACCCTATGGCAGGGGCCGCAGGTGGCCACCCATAGACCTGGACCCTCCAGCCTTCCAGGGCACCCCCAGGTGCCCTGTGGGGCCCCAGTGGGTGGTGGGATGTCTGTGCTGGGCACTGCAGAGGCCTCGGGCATCAGGGACCCTGGCAAGAGCGGATTTACGAGTAGGACTATTTTATACTTTGCAGCTGCCGCTGTAAACCCTGGACCCATTTGGGAAGGGGGAGCAGCTGCGGGGGAACACCCGTGGGGCCCTGGAGCCAGTGCCAAATCCTTCCTGCTATTTCTGAGCAGCCGGAGGAATGCTGAAATTAAAACCGCCCGAGAAAAATGACAAATCCCTGTCCCCCTCCACACTGGCCTGCTTCTTCCCCAACAGCAGATGAGGAGCTAGAGCTGAAGCAGAGCAGAGCTAGACACAGCACAAGACTGCCCACCAGAGACCTGGATTCCTGTTCAGCTCTGGATGGGCCCCAGTCCCAGTCTGCTCCTTGGATGTCCACATATGAAATGTGGGGGGCTGGTCTAGAGCAGGATTTCTGACACCCTCTGAGCCTCAGAAGCTCCCTACAGTAACTGAGCTCAAACATTCCCACTTTAAGTTTCAATGCTCCCACTCCTGGCTGTGTGACCTTAGACAAGTTACTTGACCTCTCTGAGTCTGTTGTTTTCATCTGTAAGATGGGGACAAATAATGACCATCTCATTAAGAAGGTTGGAAGGATAAAATAAACGAACATCGGTAATTCCCAGCAGCTTTATTTGTAATAGCCACAAGCTGGAAAACCACCCAAACGTCCATCAGCAGGTGAATGGATAAACAAATTGCAGTACATCCGTACAAGGGAATACTACTCAGCAGTAAAAAGCAGTGAAATGTTAATACATACAATAACATGAATAAATCTCAGAACATCCGTGCTGCATGCGAAAAGCCAGATAAAAAGAGTACACTATATGGTTCCATTTATATAAAATTCCAGAAAATAAAAATGAGTCATAGAGATAGAGAACAGGTCAGTAGTGGTCTAGGGACTGAGGTGGGGGGGAAACAGCCAGCAGAGATCGCAAAGAGGTACGAAGAAACAGTCAGAGGTGATGGACATGTCCATTATCTTGACTTTGGCGATGGCTTCATGAGTATATACGTATGTCAAAATTATCAAATTGCCATTTTAAATATGGGCAGTTATTGTGTGTCAATTATACGTCCATAAAGCTGTAATCACTGTGGTTGCATCTAGATGATTCTTTGATTCGTTTTCATCTCCTCCACTCAAATACAGCTTCAGATTTGTTGTGCCAATAGTGCGTCCTCAGTTCCTGGCACCATGCCCCGTGCCAGGGGGACAGTGGTGGACAGCCCCCCAGGCAGTGACAGTTGCCCAGCCGTACCCTTGGACACTCTGATTTAATCGGCCTTGGGGGCGGGGGGCGCCTGGGTGACTCGGTCGGTAGAGCATGCGACTCTTGATATTGGGGGCGTGAGTTCGAGCCCCGTGGAGATTATTTAAATAAATAAATAAATAAATAAATAAATAAATAAATGGTCTGGGTGGAGCCCAGGAGGTACGACATAACAAAGCTCTCAGACAATCCCAGTGTGCAGGTCTCAACCTGCCAGGTAGGGTAGGATCATCTCTTTACGCACATGGAAACAAAAGCCCAGAGAGGTGAGGACATTTGCCCAAGGCCACACAGCTACGAAACGGTACAGCGGGCATTGACACAGGCAGTCTCCCCCCAGGGCCCAAACTACCCGAACCACCCCAGGAGGGTGCAAGACCATGTGCCTAGTGCAGAGCTCCCCAGGGACGTGAGTTCTGCCCCTCGTCCCCTTGCCTTGGATGTGACCCCCAGCCAGCGAACACCCAGCCCCTTGGGCTGATCAGAGAAAGTCAGGGCACGCGGAAGAGGTCCCTCCAGCACCCCACGGACCCCCTGCACCCCCACCCTCCAGCCCAGGTCTCCCCCTCGCCTGGCGCCAGCCCACACGTGCCCCCAGCCCATCTCCCCCCAAAGCTCACCCTCCGCTGGTGCCTGGCCAGATGTTTGTCCACCCTAGAGGGGCTCTAAGCAGGAGTGGGGCGCTGCTCTCTCCTCCCCAAGGGCTTCACTCATGCATTCATTCATGCAAGCAGCTGTCGAGCCCAAGGGAGAAGTCAGTCTAGAATCAGATGATGGGACCAGGATGCTGGCTCTGTGACCTAGGCAACTGACGTCCCCTCTGCGACATGGGAATAACAGCAGGATCCCTCTCCTCGGGTTGGGAGTCTCAATGAGTAAATGACGTTCAGGGCTTAGAGCAGTGCCTGGTGCATCACAGGTGCTCATTAGCTGTGAGCAATTAGTAGTAGTATTGAGCCCAGGGGAGTGTGGGAGAGAGTCTGGGTGGGCGCTGTTGCAGAGGGCAGGTGACAGCTAGGCTGGAAGCTAAAGGAGGCGGGGGAGTTAGCTGGACAAGGAGGGGGTGTGGAAGGGTGTCCTAGGCAGAGGGAATAGTAGCTGTTAAAGCTCAGAGGTGAGGGGGAGGTTGACACCTGCTCTGGGCTCCAACTACCTCTGAGTCCCCACCCCCGTCCGTCCCGGGGGACACAGGCCATAACTAAGGCCGCACGCCTCATGTCCTCTGGCGGGCCCATTAATGGGGAGCCAATGACCAGGGAGCTGCGGACTGCAAAAGTCATCCCTGCCTCCTCCCCAGGAATCTCTAACATCTGCTTCTGTCTTGCCTGAGTTTAACCTGTTATGGGGAAGCTTAATGCATACCCCAGCCACACCCAATCATCTAGGACCCTGCAGGAGCTCAGGATCTAGGAGATAGCCTGTCACACACAGAGAGGTTGAGTGATTTGGTCAGAGCCACACAGCATCCAGGTATCCATATTGGATTTTCCCTACATTCTTGGGCGGGAGCCGGTCTGGGCTGAGAAAGGGAGGGCCCTTCCCCGCTGCGAGAGACAGAGGCCATTGTGTGTGATGAAACCCAAACCCGGCCCCCTTCCGAAGGGAAGTGGGGTCAGTGGAGGGAGGGGCTGGGGGTGGGGGGATGGCCTCCCTGCCCCCCTCACCCCGGGATCTAGCACGTGCTCCCAACGCAGCCACATCTGGATTCCAGCTGGCAGCTCCAGGGAGGAGGGGGAAGCAGCGGCCCCAGGAACTTGCCATCAAAGGCAAGGAAGAGCCTGGCGGGGCGAGGACACAAAGGCCAGGGCCGCCTCCAGCCCCAGGCCAAGGGTGCCGGGAGCAGGGCACCGTCCGTGAGCCCAGTTCCAGTCCTCGGCCACGCTGCCAGCAGATGGGAGACTGAAACGGGAGACTGGGCTCATGTTTCGCCCAGAAGGAGACGGGTGGATCTCCTGCAGCCACAGTGCACTGCAGAACTGCTCTTGGAAGCCGGGTCTCCGTGGCCGCAAGTCCAGGGCTGGGCTCAGCCTTGGGGCAAGAGGTCCCGCGGTGTTCCCATGGGGGACCCCGTTCTGCCCTCTTTTCACGAATCATCTCATTCCACCTCATCTCATTCAGCTTCTCGGGCCTGCCTGATGTGTCTCCCCCAGAAAGCTGCCCCACCTCATGGAACAGCCCAGAAGAAATACCACCCCCCTCCCCAGCAGACTCATTTCCCCCTCAGAAAACCATCGACGCTCAGGCCAGAAAAAAGGTTTATTGTGCTGGTTTGCTATATCTCAGCACCTAAAAAATTGTGCAGAGGTTGGGGGGAGCCCAGACGGAGGGATGAGGAAGTGGACCACCACCCACCCAGAGCCTCCCCGAATCAGGACGGAGCTCAGGCTCCCTTGTCGAAGGCTAAAGAATTCTGTGAGCTCAGGCTACCAGACACGCATGTAAGCAAAGGGTCGGGGGCTAGGGCCCCCCTGCTCCAGGCTGGGTGTTAGAAACCCTTCCCTACCCCCTCAGAATCCCTCCAGAGTGGGACCCCCTTCACACACAGCCCCCACCCAGCTTCTGGATGGCTTTGGGGGCCTGACAAGAAAGGTTCAATTCATTCACCCCATGCCTGTAGCAGTAACGGGAGGAGAAATTCGTCCCCAGGCAGAGATGCTTGGCAGAACTTGAGCGGGCCTGAGCCCCCGGACCCCACAACCCTAACCCCAGAGCAACCACAAACTGGGGGGGCACCTTCAGGAACATTTGGGGCAGTAATTTCCAGAGTGTGCTCTGCAAGATTTTATTCCGTAGCTGTAAAAAAAAAAAAAAAACAAAAACAAGCAAAACCAGATTCCACAGGGGCTTCTACTGGAGTATTTGCAGAGCCCTGGGGTGCTCTAAGGGGGCATTGCAGGGAGCGGAGAGGCAGTGTCTCCTCAACTCACTGGCCCCCAAAATCCTTTTTCACAGAGTAGCTCGGGGAACCCAGCCTTGGACATGCTGACGTAGGGACCCATCATGATGTGTGCACTGGCCTCTCGGAAGCTTCCTGACTCCCCAGACCCACTTCTGCAGTAGCTCTAACTGCTCCCGCCCGGGGGGCGGGGGGTGAGGGTTGGGGGGGGGCGCCTCGGCAGGTCCCAGTCACCCTCATCCCAAACTCCTAGTTACTCTGACTTTTCTTCCCTACCTCCATGGAAAAGCGGCAATGCTGGCACCATCCCGGGGGACCTGTGGCATATGTTTGCCCAAATGACAGGGCTAATTTCGTGGGATATAGTATCATGAATACAGTGGGGATCCTTCCCATCCCCCCCCCCAGAGACGTTGTGTTTGGGGCCACAGGGGCAAATGGTCCTGGAACCCGGGGAGATTCCTGGGGTACGCTGGAGACCAGCATCTCTGCCTGCAGCAGGGGGTGGCCAAGGAGGGGTTGTCGGGGAGCGGTAAGGGCCAAGGGCCCTTCCACACCCATGGAGGTGACCACGAGGGGTCCGACAGTCAGGGCCAGCAGCCCCAGAGGCCTGTTAGACCTTGGGGACGACACTGCAAGCACAGGGGCTCTCAGGGGGACCAGTGGCTCCCCTGGCTTCCTGGGCTAACGAAGGAGCCACTTCCGGCTCGCCTTGGCCTTGGCCGGCCTCCAGGGCCCCCTCCGCCACCGCCGTGCCCGGCTCCTCCAGCACCCCTGGTTTCTCCGCCGGGCTCCCACGTCCCTGGGCCTCCTGGTCCGCCTCCCGGCCGCCGCTCTCCTCTCCCTCCGACTTGCCCTCCATCCTGCCTCCATCTCCGCTGCCCGGGGCAGCTCTGGCGGGGGACTTGAGGTTCTGGGTGGCAGCGAGGATGTCAGCCTGGAGCTGCTGGGAAGAATCCAGGGCCTCCTCGGGCCGGCCGTCGGGAGCCCGGTCGGGGACCTCACTGAAGGCCCGGGGCCCCCCGGCCCGGTCACTCTGGTCCACGTACTTCTTCTTGGGGAAAGACGAGGGGTAATAAGCTGAGGCCTTGTGCTTCTGGCGGGTGATGAGCGCAGCACAGACAATGAACATCAGCAGGAACGCCAGGGAGCCCACCACGGCGATGAGCATCACGTACTGGCGGAAGAAGTCCACGATCCCGTCCAGGAAGTTGGTGGGGGGCTTGGGGCCTGCCAGGGGCGTGGGCTGGGGCCCCACCGATGTGGGGCTGAGGGCCGGGGTCCGGGGCGGCGGGAGGCTTGGGGAGGACGCCGATGAGCCCTCGGCCTCCCCGCTGCCCCCTGTGTCCTCCAGGAAGGCAGCCTGCAGGGCCACGGAGTAGGCCACCGCGGGCAGGGCCCTGAGGAGTAGCAGCAGAGATACCACCAGCCTGGGCACCAGCACCAACACCATCTCGTCCCAGACCTGTAGGGCAGTGAGGCAGGAAAGAGGTCGGGGTGGAACTCCGGGGCCCCGGGGGACGCAGAGCGTATTCCAGCGGGTCTCTTCCCTTGCCCACCACACAACGGGCCCCGTTCGTTCACGCATGGGGTTCTTGTCTGCCCCTCCACTTCATCCTGAGCCCCTGGAGGGACCCCCCCATGAGGAACCCCACTTCACCCCGAAGTCCTAGAGGGCAAGGACTGATTCTTATTTACCTCGGCACCCTCGGGGTTTCATACCATGTCTGGTATACGGTAAGTGCTCCATAAATGCATCTTGACTGACTTGGCTGAATTAATAATAACTTACCCTTTCATCGCTTACCACGTGCCAGGTACTATTCTGAGTTTCTTACGTAGAATGTCATGGAATCCTGAGACCCACCCAATGGGGGAGGTACGGTTATTATCCCCAGGTTCCAGGTATGGAAACTGAGGCTCAGAGGAGTGAAGTCACTGTCAGGCAAGAGCGGGGGTTTGGAGCTAGGCACAGAGGGAGAAATGGTTGGGTCGGGCCGGGAGAAAGTAAGAAATGGAGCAACGGAGGGAGCTGACCCCTCCTTTTCCAGGGAACCCTCCCCAACAGCTGGCCCTTCCTTGGTTCCAGTCCCCTTCTCCGGGATACTCAGAGGTTTTGAAGCTTCCAGACTCCCTGAGCTCCGCAGAGGGCCTGGATTCCAGGAGCCGTGGCTAACCCTCACCTCAAGGCGCAAAGCAGGGCCTGCAGGGGCTGGGGAGAACCCGCGCGCCGGAGACGAAGCTGGAGCCCGAGTCCTACGGCCACCACTAAATGGGAACCAGATGAACCCCGCCCCTCTCTCCCTCCCCCCGCTGGAAGGCTGCTCCCGACATGAACCCCCAGACCCCATCTGGCCCAGACAGCCAGGCTGACTAATACATTCCGCATGGTCCAGGTTTGCGGAGGACGCCAGCTCCTAAAACACGGGCTCTCCCCGCCAGCCCGAGGGAGGCTGGGCCCTCAGACAAACCCAGGAGCCCCTCTCTCTGCACCCTCGTGGGCTGTCTGTCCCTGAGAACCCCCTCCTGACCCGGGCGGGGCTCGAAGCGCCGGGACAGAAAAGCCTTGGGATCCCCGGTCTGACACCCTCTCTCAGGGGACCGAGATGGGGGACAGGGGCCCGGAGGTGAGGGGCAGGCCGAAGGCCACAGAGCGAGGTCCTGGGCTGGAGGCAGAGGTCAGGTTCCCAACACCTGGGCTGTGTGTCCCCTTGGGTGCCCAGTCCTCAAGGCCTGCTTCCTAAAAGGGCTGGCAGTCCCGGCCTCAGGGGTCACCGTGAGGATTTGGGGAGTGAGGTAGTTATGATGTCAGGACGTTGAGTGGCTTCTTCCAACTGACCTGAGGCCTCCCAATTAAGTAGCACTAATTGAAATTAATTGTACTGACATCAGTTTGGACAAATGGGCTCCGATGACCAAGAAAACCCAAGGGTAATTCCAGGACACAAAAAGAGGCAGAACTACTCAGAGTTTCGGTTTAAATGGTGGGGGGGCTGATGATCCTGTGCTTTCATCACGGGGGAAGCCCCCACCCCCTTTGCCGGGGCTCAACCCTAGAGCAGCCCTAGAGCTCCACCCTAGAGTTCAACGCTGTTGAGGGGCTAGAGGTCCCCAGACGGACTGTGACTTGCCCAAGGACACACAGATGGTACCTGTCGGAGCTGGGATTTGAACCTTTGTCTGGGTGAGTCTGAGAATCCACATGCTCACACCACACACACGTACATACATACGTACACACACTCACACACCACACACACACACCACACACACACACACCATACATGCATATGCACACACTCACACATGATACACACACAAACACGACACATACACATACTCTTCTACTACACATGCACATACCCACATTCACACATATACGTCCCACACACATGCACACACAGACACACACACACACCCTGCACACGCGCTCTCATGTGACCCCGGGGCCGGCCCCCAAATGAGCTGACACCCCTGGACGACACCACGCATGAGCTGGAAGAGGGGGGCCTTCCCGGAACCTCACATCGAACGTGTTAGCAAAGGTCCCTGCAGACGGCTTTGATCTTCAGGGTCTTAGTCCGCCGGTCACCTCCCTGCCCTCCTGCAAGTCAAGCCTGAGAGAGACTTCTGGTGGTGGCAGCCGAGGCTTCTCCCCACAGAGGGCGGCTATGAGCGGCCCCGGGGGCTCCAGCTGGGTCCCGCTCCGCGGGCAGCTCCCTCTGGGCCTCACTGTCCCCGTCTGTAAGTCGGGGGGTCGGCGGGGAACTGACCACAGAGCCACACGGCCCGGGAGGAGACAACGTGCAGAAAGCGTCTGGCACAGGGTAGCTGCGCACCCAGGAAAGGCCGGGGCTCGAGAGCAGCCCCATTCCGACCCCAGCAGAGCCCGGGACGAACCCCGTCCTCCCACCAGGTGGGCGGATGGTTACCTTCACCCAGTGTGTAGACCAGCTCATCACCACCCCCTCGGGCAGTGAGCAAGCTCTTCACCCTGCTGAGTGAGAGCTCAGCTCCGGCCCCCCAGGAATCCAGGATGCGGGCACGTGTGTGTGCAGACACACACACACACAGACACACACACACGCGACAATGAGCCGGACGGAGGGAAGAGCCCCCTTCTCCCCGGAGCCTTGGGGTCAGGGACAGAGGGTAAGGAAGGAGGCCACACAAAGGATTGCTGGCTCTTAGAGGCCAAGACCCCGACTCTCAGGTCCCCCACACACCTCAGCCTGGCTCCCCAGGAAAGGAGCAGGCGAAGCGTCGGGGGTCGGCTGGGCCTCAAAGGCAATGGCTGTGTGGCCCTGCATGATCTGCATGATGAGCCCCTGCCCTCTGTGGGCCTCAGTCTCCCCTCTGTACAGTGGGCACGCTGGCCTGGACAGCCCCGAAGTGATCAGTCTGCCCATCAGCTGTCCCCACCGCCCTCCGGGAGACGGTCAGTCTCGCTTCCCGGGCCCTAATGTTTTCCAGGGCTCAGAAACTCACAGGCCACTGGGACCTGGGGTCAGGCCAACCCCTCTCGTTGTAGCCAAGAGGAAACTCAGGCCCGATACTGGGAATGGCCAGCCCAGGGTCCCACAACCAGGAGAGAGCAGGTTGGAATAACCCCCGGGGGAAGTCACCGCCCAGCTCCGTGTCCTGGGGTCGGGCACATCACCTCTGTGAGCCTCGGCTTCCCCATCTGTGCAATAGGGCTAAGGGCCACCTCCCTGGACTATTGTTAGGACAAGAAACAGCAGTGCCAGATGAGGAGGAGGTATCACTTCGTGGGCCCCACAGGATTGTGCGGGACCCACAGCTTGGAGCTGGGCCTCCCTCTAGAGCCCATCTCACTCGGGGTTTGTGGTTTTAAAGGTGATGATGCAGATGATGCAAATCCACCCCTAGGGTCTCGGGACCGAGGCTGAGGGGCCAGAGCCACTGCCCCACCCCCACTGGGAGACTGGTGGCCAGAGGGGGAGGGGCAGCCCACGAAAACCTGGCTTCAATTAGTGGCTTTTGGGGGAGGAGGGTCTGGCTGAAGCACTACCCCCCCTGCCCCGGGGCAGCCAAGGACAGGGACTTGGGCCCCTTGGAAGGGAGGCGGGGAGAGGGCAGGGGAGTCCTGAGGCTCAAAATATACACCCACACAAAGCAGCAGCAGCATGGACACACAATATACAGACACACAACACAGACACACTAACCTGTATCCCAACACACACACACACACACACACACACACACACACACACACACAGCAACAGGGACCCAGAAGGCCCAGACACCCCAGAAAGCCTGCACAGCCCAGCAGCACGGACACACAGAGGGCGCACAACAGACCCACAGCGGGCTGATTCTCTGGCCACGCGGGCCCACAGACACAACCCCCTGACACACACTCGGTCCCCCACCAACCACAGACGGGGCGGGGAGGGGGAACACCCCGGGCCACGCGACCCTCCCCACTGACCCTGGGACAACCACCCTGGTGCTCACTTTGCGAGAACACATCCTCTCCCGTCAGGCCACAGCTGCACACGCACTCACACACACACACACACGCACACGCACACGCACGGGCCGGCCCCGCACGACGGACACAGAGAAGGTGCACACGCATTCCGCCGCCCGAACCCTCAGCGCAGATCCTAAGCGCGCGCACACACAGCATCCGACACACGCTCAGAAGGCACAGAACTTAGAGATGGCCCCCAAAGGGCTTGCGGCAGGCCCCCAGTCCCTAAAGCCCAAGCGCCCCCAGGCTCCCCGGGGCAGAGGGGCGGCCGGGACTCACCAGTCCGTCCGTCTGTCCGCACGCAGGCCTGGGTGCTCCCGCCAGGTGAAGCGACGGGGAGTGCCAGTTGCCTCTGCTCCGGGCCGGCGCCCCCGCCCCCCCCCCCCCCCCCCGCCGGACCCCGCCCCCCGCCTCCCGCCTCCCGCCCCTCGGGCTGCAGCCGGGCCAGCTTGATTCCATTAAGCGGGTTTGGGGTGGGGACAGGGGAGGGGCGGGGCTGCGCTCGGCCACACACACGATCCCCCCCCCTGCTCCCAGCTCCCACTCCCGCAGGCGCCCCTCCAGCTCTGCGGAACGCCAGATGGGGCACTTCCTCCCCGACCCGGGGTCCCCAGCGCTGGCCCCTGCGGACAGACAGACGGGGCTGTCCTGCAGCGCCCCGCCCCCCCAGAACAGCGAGCTGGGGGCCTGCCTCCCTTCCGAAGGGGCCGAGGTCGGGGAGTTTGGGGGCGGGGGGAGGCCTAGGAAGTGAGCAGGAAAATCCCCCCCGGCCCCGGTTCCAGCTGTGACTCAGGTTTTCCAGAGGCTGGGGTGCAGGGTGAGAGCGGAGTGTATTTCAGGGAGAGCGTGAGCAGCGGCGGGCCGGAGGGTCCGGGCCTGCAGCCGGGAGCGGAGCTCAGGCGCCCGCTGTCCCGCCCTGGTCGGGCTCTTCCCTTGTCCCGGCCTCAGTTAGCTCATTTGCCAGGGTGCGCAGGAAGCTTTCTGGGCTCCCTCTGGCTCTGACACTCTAACATCCGTGGCCTGACCTGGGACCCCAAATGGAGTAGCCAGAGCAGGAGTCGGTGGGGGGGGGCATTTCACAGGTGGGC